CATGCATGCACACAGACATACATGCAGCACACATACATACACAGTCATACATACATGCATGCATACACACATACATATACATATATATATATATATTACATACATATATATATATATGGTGTATACACTACACCGTACCGCAAAACCCTATTCACACCAAACAAGGACCCCATACTAGACCCTCTAACCCCATACTAGACCCTCTAAAGCCCCTGTATTATGAAACTACTGTAGTAACTGAAAAAACAAACCTCAGTGATCAGAATAATGCTTGAGCCTACATTCTATTGTGAAACTACTGTAGTAACTGATATACGAATCTCAGTGATCAGAGTAAGGTTTGAGGCTACATTCTACTACTATCAAAATGGGGGCACTATAAGGGAATACTAGTACTAATTAAAGTACGAAGTACGAAGGCGGCTCTATTATTCGAGGACCCAACACCCTATTCTGATTATGAAGGCCCTGAACTACGCGCTTTCAGACAGCCTTAAGGGTTCCGTTTAAAGGCTCCTTTAAGGGCTCCTTTAAGGGGACCCGATGGTGGAACGCTATAACACCGGCCTCTTGGCTCACCTCCTCCTGGGAGGGCGTCTCAGGCAGCTGTGGAGGAAGGAGCCTCTGAGCTCTAGCCGGGCTGAAAAGTTTAGGGCTCTCGGTGGGTTTAGGGGTTAGGGTTTAGGGTTCAGGGTTTTAGGGTTTAGGGTTTAGGGTTTAGGGTTTAGGGGGGTTACGGCTTAGGCTTTAGGTTTTAGAGTTTAAGGGCTTAGGATTTGGGGTTACGGGTTTAGGCTTAGGGCTTTCGGTGGCTTAGGGCTCCTTTTCGGTGGCTTTTAGGGTTTGGGGCGTTGGGATCAGGGTTTAAGGGTTCTAAAGAATCTAGGATTTAGGACATGGATGTCGGGTTTAGGATTTCGGGTCGTAGTTTGTGATGTTTTGTTCGGCTCCTGGGACGCCGACTTCCTTCATCAAGGAATGAGTTTAGGGCTTATAATGCTTAGGGTTTCGAGAATGCTCCTCACATCATAGTCAGAAGCCCTGAATGCTTTGAGGCATACTCCTTGCTTTAGTGATGTTGAGGCAGGTTGCTTGGGCATGGCGAAACCCTGCACCCCTATTTTAAAGATAGGAAGAGGACAACTTCGGGGCATCTATCAGGGACACTCACACTTACTCCAAGCCCTTTAGTAACTCTGGTCCTAAACCCTACCCGGCCCACAATATAACCCCAAACCCGATATGTTCTTCCACATCAAAACATGACACACGGTAGTTGTTCAACACAACTAGCCCCCCGAAAAGAGCGAGGAGAAAAACTGCAGAAAGAACTAGACACTAAACCCTAAACCCCAGACCCTAAAGCCCCAGCCCCGACCCCGTGAACCGTGAAACCCAAACCCATAAACCCCAAACCCCAAGCCCGGACCCCGTAAACCCTGAAACCCTAATGTAGGGGCCCTAGTAATTAGAATTGGGTTTGGGGGCCCATTACAGTATACAGAGTTAGAACAAGGAACCCCCAAAACCCTCTTCCAATTATTAAGGCCCCTATATTAACCCCCAACCCTAAAACCCCCCGCCCAAGAAAAGGAGCCCTGTGAGAGCCCCACGGCAAGATATCGCAGAATTCCCGCCTCGACGACTGGGGTTAGGCTGTAAGCTTGATCTATAAGGGCTTAGGTTAGGGTTCAGGGCTAGAGGTTGCCCTTCAACGGAATCTACAATAATTACGAGAAGGGCTGCCTTTGCGGCTTGCTTTGAGGGCTGCAGGGCTTTGTGAGTCCATGCACAAGCCCTTTCAAGGATCTAAGCGGTTGCCAGAAGGCTTCCTATAGGAAGTCTATGTTTTTTTGTTGGTGGCTTGCTTCAGGATTCAGGCTCTCAGGATCTGTGGGTGATTCAAACCTAAGGGCTCAGGGCTTAGTGTTTAGGGGTAAGTTTAGGTTCTAGGGTTTAGCATTTAGGGTTTAGGGGGGTTTATGTAGACTTCTGGGTTCCGATGGAACAAGCAGCAACTACCGCATCAGGCCTTAAGGAACCTGCAACCCGGCAATTGACCCCCAAAGGACCGCTCAGGCCACAACAACCATTTTACTCTTGCATTAAATCCGTGAATCTGAACCCGAAACCCTAAACCCGAAACACCCTAAACCCTAAACCCGAAGACCCAAACCCTCTAACTGAGAGTTCAGGGACCCTTAGCTCTGAAACCCAAAAGCTTTCAACCCTCCCTAACGGCTTAGGGTTTAGGGTTTAGGGCTGACTGCCCTAAACCCTAAACCCCAAACCGCCCTAAACCCCTGAACCCTGAAGCCTAAACCCTAAACCCTAAACCCTGAACCCTGAACCCTGAACCCTAAACCCTAAACTCTAAACACTTGAAAACCCATACATCCGAGGGCCCCGGCATGTACCGGGAGCACCGCACATCTAGCGGCTGAGACTCGTCTCCTGTCTCCTCCTCCTTCTCCTCAGCGACAGCCAACAGGAGCCGAGGGGTTTAGGGTTTATGAGTTCGGGTTTGGGGTTTAGGGGTTCAAGGTTTAGGGTTTTATGGCTTAAGGTTTCTAGGGCTGCATAGGGGCATGCAAAACAGGGTCTTAGAAGCGGACTGTACCTTAGGTTCAAGGTTTACATGTCATAGAGCTTTTTTTCGAAAATCCTTAAGAACACTGTAGAGTTAATACTGGGGCTCTCTCTAGGGTTTTTAAAGTTGATGATTATTAAAGGTCTAGCGTTTTGGTGTCTTTCAGATTTTGGGCGTAATGCAGAACGCGGGATTGGCATCGGGGCGGAAGGCTGAACATCCTCAAGCACTGGAACTCATTGTGGCTCTGTTGCTACAACTGTGCTGATAGAACTAATTAGCCGAATTAGCCGCCTGAATGACACATGGGTCCTCGACCTGGATCAGATCGAGAACCCATGCGTCGGCCCAGGCTAGCTACAACTCAAAGGCTGCGAAGCGAAGAAGAAGCGTGACCATGAGCGAATTCAGCCGACCGGGATCTTGCCCTCTGAGTCGTGAAGGTGCTGTGGTAGCGCAGAACGTTTTTCGCCATCAATTCAGGAAGACTCCTTGAACCCTCATCGTCCAACTCCAGCCTTGCGCTTTCAACATCTTTCCAACCCTTAACCTTAACCACAGACTCAAACCCTAAACCCTGAACCCGTAACCCTAGACTGCCCCTTCATTACCACCGGCTCGACATGGCTCGGGGCGAAGTTGAAGGATCGCTAAGGCTGAGCTCACAAGTTGCAGCAATCCGGAATTTGAGAAGGGGCTCCACAAATCAGGACATAGGGTGTAGAGGGCTGAAGGTTGCAGGTTTTTGTTGAACACCTTTTTCCGCCCAGTAAATCCAAGCAAAGACCCCCACTGGAGCAGGCTTCACCTATGGACCTACGCTTCGTTAACGCAATCGTCACCGTCCTTCTGCAGTGTCTCACCCAACCCTTTCGGCCCACTGCATTTACCTGGAGATCGCCCCTGGGATTGCTCAGCTTCTGGACCACCCGAAGCACTGCCACGACCCTCCACTTCACATGCTGGCCCTGCAGCACGATCCTCATCCCAGTCAACAGTCGAAGCCCTTTGGTCCTCCAGGCCTGTACCTTCCAAGTCACTTGGTTTCACCATAGCCCCTTCCGAAGTTTTTCAGAATGCCAAACGAGTTCTTCGGGCCGGCAATGGGGTCGAAAGGGGATGGCGTGTCCCTGTTCATCCTGGGCAGGAGTTGCGAGTGAACTTGGACATGGAGGTGGAGGAGGACTCTGATGGAGAGAGGCGAAAGCGGTGAAACGCATGGAGCTCCACAGGGACTAGCTGGGTGACGCTTTCCAGGAGGTCTACAGCCGATGGTCCATGGGGTCTGTCACCAGCAAACACATCCTGGAGCAGCATGGCCCGGCGACCCTGGATATGCTTGAGGCCCAGCAAATTGCGCAGGTGGAACCGGAGCTGATTGTACCTGTGACACATGTGGGCCTGTGGCTGCAGCCGAGGATGATGTGGCTTCAACACTACTTGATGCGATGCTTGACGAGTCGGAACGTCGAAACCCCTCCTTGTTGGCTGCAAAACGCTTGAAGAACAAGCCCGAAGAACTCGTTTGGCATTCTGAAAACTTCAGAACGTCGCAACCCTCGTTTCTCGCCCCGAAACGCGTGAAAAAAAGGCCCGATTTTGATGTAGGCCCAGACTTCCCTGTACTCTCACGGCTAGCGGCTAGAAAACGTACGTTTGTTTGGCTTTTGCTGTAAGGGCCAGGATCAACGGCGCCAACTCGAACTCTCCAACAAAACAACATGAACATCTACAAGGCCTGTCAAAACAAAACCAAGTACACCTGAAATGTGCAGAGATTCGAGAGTGGGAGATTTCGAACCAAGACTTTTTGCTGAAGTCTTTTTTTGCGTGAAGCGGCCTTACGCAGGGCGGCGATCATCGGGGTCATCATGGTCATCACCTCTGCCACGACGGCGATTGTCAATTGTTCTGATTATCCCGCTGCTGCATCCGCACCGAATGCACGAAGCCAATCACCGGAATGGGTGCATGCGCAGGGGCTTTGTAGCCGGGGCGTGCCCACCGAGGTGAACGTCCGGCCTGCGCACCGCTTGAACAGGCCAAAGTCGGCGGCCTTTGCGTAGCCGGACGGGGCCCAGGAGGAGGACGTTGGGAGACTTCAAGTCTTGTCATAGTACTTTCTGGTTGTGCAAGTGCTGTGGAACCTCACCGCGTCAAGGTTGCCTCTGTGGCCCTTATTGTGGCAGAAGGTCCACAAATCACTGCCAGGCGCGACCTCCAACAGCAGGTAAACGTTCCTGGAGTCGCGGTAGGTCGCCACCATACCTACCACGAAGCGGGAGCATCTCCCGCAACGTGTACGACTCCATCCCAAGGGTCTCAATCTGCCCCTTCGAGACAGCCTTGAGGGAGTACCTGCGGCCGCGCCCGTCCTCCTGAAGGGTCACCTGCCCGAAGCCACCCGTGTCCAGCTTGCCGATCTCCTTCAATTCGGCGCTGCTGGGTGGCCTGTCCTCCACAGCTGGGTCCTTTGGCTCCGGCGAGCTGCCACTGCCGCTTGCGGCACCTCGCGTGGGCGAGGGCGCCGAAGCCTCAGGCACCATCCCTAGGGGAGCGCCAACAGCGATCTTCCGCGCATCAGGTGGCATCAGGGTTGAGGTTTTTAGGGTTTAGGGTCTAGGGTTTTGAGTGTCGGACTCAGTATTTCCCCCACCGAATCCTGAACCCTAAACCCCGTCAGGCGTCTCCCCGAGCAGCTCGGTCTCAAGTTTTGGATTGGGTGCGTACAAACCCTTTCGTCCAGCCAGCCCAAAATGCCCTGAACTAAGAAACACTGTTTAAACTAGAGCAAGCTGATGATGAAAGGGATATGCCGACTGAACCCGAAACCCTAAACCCTTAAACCGAAACGCCTAAACCCTAAGAACCTCGTAGCCTCTTCACAACGACCCTTTTTAAACTAAGGGCTTCTGGCGTGCTCCACGTATGCCCCGGGCCTGCTCCACTCGTTTGAGGCGGCTGAAGCCGGGCCTTTGCGGTTTAGGACGGCCCTCCCCTGCAAAGCCCTAAAGTAAAACCCGACTCAAATCTTAGAAGAGGACAATTCCAAAACAAGAAATATATGTACATATATATATATACACATACTTCAAGAAGCCTTGAGGAATTGGCGCTCAGAGTTGCAGGGCGTGGGACTCAGGATTTCCCATTTTTAGAAACGAGGAGTCTAGCACTTGTGTTTTACGGCTGCCTGGTTGTCATGGACAAATCATGTGCAGCCAAGGACGGCATCTGGCCCTGAACCCAAAACATGAATGGGCCTGTATGTATGTATGTATGTATGTATGTATGTATGTATGTATGTATGTATGTATGTATGTATATGTGTACGTGTATGTGTATGTGTATGTGAATACGTGTACGTGTATGTGTATGTGTGTATGTGTATGTGTATGCGTATGCGTATGTGTATGTGTATGAATGTATGTATGTATGTACGTACGTACGTACGTACGTACGTAGGTATGTATGTATGTATGTATGTACGTATGTATGTATGTATGTATGTATGTGTGCATGTACGCATGTATGCATGTATGCATGCATGTACGTATGTATGTATGTAGGTATGTATGTATGTATGTATGTATGTATGTATGTATGTATGTGTGTATGTATGTCTGTACGAATGTGTGTATGTACATGTGTCCATGAAAGTCAATGACGTCAGTGTGTGTCATTGCCAAGTACGTACAGCGCAACATCATCAGTGTACAATCACAGTCATGTAGGCGCCTAAAATAATTAACAATTCTATTTTGGGGGGTTCCTTCTTATAATTATAGGATAATGGGCCCCAAAACCTTATTCTAATTATTAGGGCCTCTATATTAGCCAGGTCATACTTCAAAAACGACACGAGAACGGTGAGAAGACAGCAACAGTTGCACTATCTAACAATCGCAAAAGTCATAGTAGAAACTAAACGCACATTGACTCATGTATCGGTCAAGACAACAACGATATGCACCACAATAACAGTACCAGCAGTTACACCATAGCGATTGCACATCGAACGACCCTACATCGAACCAATGAAACTTCATTGCAGGCCAAACTTTGACTCCTAAACCCTAAACCCCCAACCGAACCATACATCCTTCAGCCTCCCGAAAGCTTGCTTAAACCCACTGCATCCCTATAACTACACCCTAGACCCATAACCTTTAAGCCAAAAATGATTGCAAGAAAACCCAAAGAAAACCACAAACCCCAAACCCTGAAACCCTTAAACCCCAAAAAACCCTAAACCCTAAACCCTGAGGAAAACAAGCAAAAAAAAGGAAAAGAAACAAACAAAAAAAAAAAAAAACGAGGCCCCGTCCCTTCAAACTTCTTCGGCAGGTCGGCGCTTCCAACCTTGGAACTCCCAGGGCGACTTCCCCGGTGGTTTTTGTTTAAAGAGGGTTTGATGGTTTAGGGTTTAGGGTTTAGGGTTTAGGGTTTAGGGTTTAGGGTTTAGGGTGTAGTTGATGGGATTTCATAGGGTTCTTATAAGACTTCATGAGGGTTTCTTATAAGATTTCATCGGGTTCTTATAAGATTTCATCGGGTCCTTAAAAGAGTTCATCGGGTTCTTATAAGACTTCATGAGGGCTCTTATAAGATTCCATCACGGTGTCTTATAAGGTTTCATTAGGGTTTCTTATAACATTCCATAGGGTTCTTATAAGATTTCATCAGGGTTCTTATAAGATTTCATCGGGTTCTTATAAGAGTGCATAGGGTTCTTATAAGACTTCATCAGGGTTCTGATAGAATTTCATAGGGTTCTTATCAGAGTTCATAGGGTTCTTATAAGACTTCATCAGGGTTCTTATAAGATTTCATCAGGGTTTCTTAAGATTTCATCAGGGTTTCTTATAAGATTTCATCGGGTTCTTGTAAGGTATCATAGGGCTCTTATAAGATTTCATAGGGCTCTTATAAGATTTCATAGGGCTCTTATAAGATTTCACCAGGGTTCTTGAAAGATTTCATAGGGTTCCTATAAGATTTCATAGGGTTCTTATAAGACTTCATGGGTTCTTGAAAGATTTCAGGTTCTTATCAGACTTCATAGGGTTCTTATAAGACTTCATCAGGGTTCTGATAGAATTTCATAGGGTTCTTATAAGATTTCATCGGGCTCTTATAAGGCTTCATAGGGTTCTTATAAGATCTCATGGGGTTCTTGTAAGATCTCATCAGGTTCTTATAAGATTTCATCGGGGTTGCTTATAAGAATTCGTCAGGGTTTGTTATAAGATTTCATCAGGGTTCTTGCAAGATTACCGTATAAAAACCAACTGACAACCTTATAAGAGCCCTGATGAAATGATTTCATTGGGGTTCTTATAAGATTGTCAGTTTTTTATGTGGGTTGTAGGGCTTGATAAAGTTTGGTGGGACTTTGTAGGGCTGTCTGGGACTGCAACTATCGGGTTCAAACTACGGCATTGGGTTTAAGGATCAGGGTTTAAGGCCTGGGTCGTAAGCTACTCAAAACCCTAAACCCTAAAGGCTAAAACACAACAGGGAATCCACGTTTAGCATCCACTGTTCCGAGGGGCGGGCTGAAGCGTTGCATATTGGGGGTTTAGGGTTTTGGGGCGGTTTGGGGTTTAGGGCTTAGGGTCTAACCCTAAACCCTAAACCTTGGACCCTAAACCCTAGACGCTAAACTCCTAAACCCTAAACCTTAGACCCTAAACCCTAAACCTTAGACCCTAAACCCAAGACCCTAAACCCTAGGGTTTGCGGGGCTTGGGGGTTCCAGACTCCCGGGCTTCAGGGTGTTGGGATTTTCATTTTTAGGGTTTAGGGTTTAGGGTTTAGGGTTTAAGGTTTAGGGTTTCGGATTCGAGCGCCGTTTTTTTGGGGTTTAGGGTTTAGGGTTTAGGGTTTCGGATTCGAGCGCCGTTTTTTGGGGGTTTAGGGTTTAGGGTTTCGGGCGTCGGTTTTTTGGGGGGGCTCCTGAATCCTAAGACCAAAACCCTGCACCCCAGGACCCCACACCCTCAACCCTAAACCCTAAACACCAAAACCCTAAACCAGGGATTCGGGATGTGGGTTTGCTGGAGGCTTCAAGTTTGGGGGCTTCAGGCGCAGCCTTGTGTGTCGAGCTCTCGGGCTCCGGCGGGATGACAGATCCAAAGCTCCTCCGTTTAGGGCTTTAGGGTTTAGGGTTTAGGGCTAAGCGGAACAGTAGAAATCGAGGGATACGTTTGTCCGTGTACATACATCCAGGCATGCAAGCATGCATCCGTACATGAAGCGCATAGATGGGTAGACAGGCAGATGGACGGCGTGCTCGCCGCTGTAGGATTCCGTTTGCCCCGGCCTTGTCGTCGTCGTGAAAGCTGTAGATGTATGGTACCGGCCTCTCAGTTTAGGCATTCGGATCTACGATTCCGGCCTTACGGCTTGAGTTTGAGGTAGAGTCCAGGTAGAGGTTTGGGTCTATAGCTTCTTTGGCGAAAATGCCTGTACAGTTCACGGTTTCCAAAGATGGATTAGGCAAATCATCATCAGCTGCAAAACCGGTTTCAGCATCATCCGTATCATCAGTATCAACATCATCTTCTTCTATGCAAAGTCAGCTCAAGCTCAAGTAGAAAAGCAAAACAAGAATGACACGAAGATGCAGGCAGCTCAGTTTGAGGCGGTGGTGGCGCGCTGCCACTGCCAGCGATCTTAGGCAGCACGTGGAATGCATGGCAAAATGGCTTCCCGAACATACCTTGACTAAGGAAACCCTGAGCCTAGACTATAAGATCATTCATTCAAAGAATATTCCCCTGAACCCTAAACCCTAAACCCTAAACCCTGAACTCTAACTCTTAAGTCAAGCAAATTGGGAGACAGGGGTTCATTCGAGCAAGTGCAGTCTGCCCCGCTGAGTTCGAGTGATAATGTCGTGATGGCTGCTACTGGCTCTTTCTTGTAGAAGGGCTTCTGCAATTGTAAGGCTTGCAAGGGGGGTCTCTCTCTCTCTCTCTCTCTATATATATATATATAAGGGTCACCATGAGGGCTTCTATATACAAGGGTTGGTAAATGACTTCAACAGGGTGTAAGGGTTTAGGGTTCAATGTGGTGAGAACCGCTGGTTTCTGCGAGCATGGTTATGCTGTTACTTTCACTGCTACTGCGGTTGCTGCTGCTGCTGCTACTACTACTGCTGCTGCTAATGCTACGGCTACGGCTACGGCTACGG